TGTGAGTGTTGGTCAGAGTGGAGTGGCCAGTGGCATAGAGTATGGAATGAGTGAATAATGCACTAAATTGTAAAGCCAATTTGAGCATCTGGAAAAGCGCTATATAAGACTAATGCATTATTATTATTTTCCAGTAACTTGTTGGACATTTTTACAGTTATGTTTTGCACAAATCATTACTTTGATGACAAGACCTTTTGACCAAATGAATTTCTTGGGACCTCCTGGCTTAGTTGGTAGAGACAACACCCACTGAATTGAAGATTTGTACGTCAATCACCATCAACACAGCATGAAGTTGTTGTGTCCTTGGGTAAATAAGTATTAAAGGGACAGTTCAGAATTTTGGACATAGGACCTCATTTCTTAGTTAGCCAGAGTGTTGAAGACGTGTGGAGACACTTTTAAAAAAAAAAAATTCCATCCAGTTCTTGTATTTGCAGAAGTCGCTGGTGCTAGGCTAGCGCATGTCAATGGCCATAGTTATCCTGCCACTAAAAACAGTCTTACCTACACCACAAAGCACCTGAAGCAAATCTATTATTACTCCAGACTGCCAATGTGAATATCTGTGTTGACAGAATAATGTTTGAAATAAAACTAACCTTGTATCACATGAATTGTCGCATGTTGAGGGACTATTTTCTCATATATCAGTCCGCCGCTGCCAAGCTTTCTATGAGGAAGTACAATTGACTGCTGCTGCTCAGACATAAATCCTTCAAAGGCAAGGTTGGTTTTACTTCTAAAATTATTTTATTGACACAAACATTCACATCGACAGTCAGTCTTGATACTGAACGGAATACTGATACAGAATTGTAATACTAAGGAATACTCAGTACTTACAAAATAGAATGTCATTTTCAAGATTATATCATAGTACTTTCTTTTATATTACCATGTGGTCTTATATCTGTGTCATCCCGGTAGGTTCCATAGTGGTTCATGGTCGTATACTAGTCTGTGCTTTTATTCTTGTTCTGTTACAAATCAAGATCATTTTAAAGCTATTCGGGATAGGTTCCAGTTTCCTGTGAATGTGTTTGTTTTTTTTTTAGTATTGGTATCTGCTCAAATAAATATCTAGTTTTGATAGTAGTTTTAGTATCGGTCAGCACCTGATCTTCGTTACTTTTGACAACTCTAAATGCAAGATGAATACGGTATCATTTAGGCACGCACTTCTCCCTCTGCGCCGAGAAACTATTGTAACAAACGTTTGTCATGGTTCTAATTACAAAGCGTTTTTTAATGAAGGACATGAAACAATACTCGTCTCACACAGCCGCAGATCAGCCGCAAACCCTCGTGACCTCGGCTCGTGCTCCAACATCTGCGAGCGCCTTGAATCCTCCAGTCTCTTCTGAGGGCTCTGGTGGAAGCAATAGCAGATGTTCTGTTCCAGTGATGTCACCACGAAATGTCATTTGGGCCCTTAAGAATGAGCCCCGTGGATTTCAATAATTCACAATGTAGGGGACACGCTAAGTTGCTTAACCAAGGTATAATTTAACTTACTTTATGAACTATTGAAACCAGAATGTGTTTTTAAAGGACTTGTATCCATCTGTGTTTCCATATATTTGACCAGAATTCGTCTTGCCTCAGTAGAAATATTACCTTATAAGTAGCTCTTGAGGTCAAAATATAAGTTGGCTCTGTACTGCCGGGAATCAGGAAGTGTGTTAGCGTGCTAGTACTTGTCTCTGAAAGTTGTTAAAACCTCTTAAACTCACCACAGTGAATGATTAGGATGTTTTGGAGTGAATAAAGCAAGTTTGGAATAACTTTGGAACACTGCAAACCTTTTAAAACAGTAAAAAAATCTGTAAAAATAATTTATAGTGCCTTTAAGTATTTTATTTTATCTCATTTTAACCATCTTAGCGCTTAAATTACTCACACAAAAGCACAGTAAGTAGGTGTCGTGTTTGCAATAGCCATGCTGCCGGGTTTTTATTAAGCATTAAAGAACACATATTATGCGTTCTTGTGGCTTTGCTTTTTAAACATGCTTCTGGTCACCTTGGGATAAGTTTTTCACATTTTCTAACTCTGCTGTCAGCAACAGTCAGAAAGTAAACAAATGAGGTCCTTAGCCCCTGTGAATGTTATGCTAAAAGAGTCTTGCATTTGTTGTGAGCACAGCTTGACCATAGAATGAGTTCAGTGATGGTTTATGGGCTTAAAAGCTGCATAGGAAAAGACTGGAGTTTTTGTCTATGACGCAACTAAACAGGCAATATGTGAATGAAGTATATTTTTGAGTGCTTAGAGAAGACAGTTTTGGATTAATTAACAAGCATGAATGAAACAAAATACAACTCCAGGTATATTTCCGGTTGAGGGGACAACAATATAACATGATCAAAAGCTCAAAAAGTCATATCATTTGGTGTTATGTGTTTAAAATAGAAAGTAAAAGCATGGCGGCATACAACATGGATTACAGAAGGCTCAAATTTCTCTGCATTCTTTCACACAGATATTTTGGAGAGATCTCGGGATGTGTTGTGTCCGTTTTGGCAGTTGCGTTTGATAAGTGTGGGTTGTGACGCTATGGGAGTACCTCTGGAGTTTGACATGCCAGCAGAGTGATGCATACTTGGGTTTTTGGTGAGACCACAAAGCTCCAGTCCTGATCTGACAGTAGAATGAAGACAGTAAACAACGCGTCCGTATCATGTCACCGTGACAGTTAAGACAGGTTACCACAGTGCTGCTCTTTGAAGCTTTAATCTAATAATGCTAGCAAGAAACGTACAGTGTTGTAAAGTGGAGTAGCTGCTTCCATGTGACTTCATGTCTTTGGCTTTAGGAAGAAAGGAAAAGGATCCACTGTATGGAAAAAAGTAGTGATATGATACCATAATTAAAATCATGTGGCTCAGTTAATTCAAAGGCTGTATTATGCAAAATCAACTTTTTGGAGCGTTCCATGTTATAACATTGCCTCATCGAAAACATGAGGTTTTACATGTCATCCATACATGTTTGAGTAATCTTAGGATGTCTCCCGGGCCCTATTCGAAACCTCCTTATTGTTAACAAGCCTATCCGTATGTCACCCATGTCCCACATGGGATTTCTCCATAAACATACAAAAGCAGAATACAAAACAAAATACTGCAGTTTCACAAACCTGATGCAATGTGCAGTAGTTTCATTAGTGGGATGCACGATCATTGTGTTGTGTTAGTATAGAGCAGTGGTATTCAACTAAAATTTGAGGAGGTCCGGATTGAGCAGAGGTTCAGGACATCATAATGTCTAACTTGCATTATGACTGTTACAGAAGTGGCCTAGTTTTATCAAGGTCTGAATGTATGAACAATAGGCTGTCAAATCAAGGAAAATACAAGTTTAAAACATTTCAACAAAATGTATTGTTAACACTGAAACCCACAGTAGGCCTACATTAGATACAGCAGGGCTGCCGTTTAAAATTGATTAGAGAAAATAAATAAAATTCCTAAATTGTGCATCTTACAAACTTTTACAAAACAAAGTGCTTAATTTCAGAAAAAAATAAAAAATAAATAGCAGCTTGAGTTTCCCTTTTTCTTTAGCTTTCACATCACAACTTAACAGTCTCAATACATTTTTCAACAGATCTCAAAACCTCTTTCCTCTGTGTCTGCATTCAGAGTTGTGATCGCGTTGAATGCTCAGATTTGATTGGCTAAGCAGCATCACAACTGGTTTGTATGTTCCTTGGTCCATTAATACAGTGCTGTAAAGTTTAGAGTGACTTAGAGCAGACGAAAGGGAGGGGGTAGGTACTCAGAGCAGCAAACTTATTAAGCATGTTAATATGTTAGTTGAGGTAAATAAAGCATTTTTGAAACAATAACACTATGATCTATATATGTTATATAACAGATATGAATACCCCATAGATGTGTAATATCCACTCTTTAAGAATCTCCACCCAACACCATTTATTCACTTGATCATGCATCAAAGTGTCTTGCCCAAAGACACATAATGCACTGGTCAAAACTGGTAATGAAATGGCAAGTTTTCATCCGTTTAAGATGACATGAGTTCACTAGAAACTTAGTGGATCTGGCTCAGACGAGACAGGGTATCTGGGCTTCTACAAAATCAAAATGACTTCAGTTTTTGATGACTTTTGACAAAAAGGAAGAAACAGCATTTTTACATTAAAGGTGCACTATGTAACTTTTGTGGTGGAGGGTCTGATACCTAGTCTGATTCATCAGCCGGTTTCACTTCGTAGAAACCGTCTGACCTCGCAGCATTAGAATTCGTTCTCTCGACGGCAGGTGGGTTCTTTTTATCATCTAACCAATCACTGCTATTTGGTCATCACTTATAGAATGCACCGCTAATGGGGCTAACTGGTATATTAAGCTTTTCCCAAATCCCGTAGGAAGAAGGGCAATAATGTCTTTCCCCTTGATGAAATTCACCAAACATTCTCCTTATTCCAGCTTTAAATCATTGATCTCGGGAATCATTGACAACAATGAATGTATAGCTCTTCGCTGATTGGCTGGTGCCCGAACTTGCACTTCTGGGGTTTTTGCGAACCATCTATTGTATTTTGATTCCTTACCTAGTCGCTGGAGAGAAATGAAACTGAGCAGAGGCACTAGGTGGCGCCAACCTGGCTATCCAATACCTGCTTCTCTCCCTGAAGATGTTATTACTTTGCCTAGTATGTTTCTTTGAATGAAATTAAACTCTATCTTACATTTACTCAGTTACATCTGTTAGTACTTAAAATACACTGATAATCATTCATTCTCACTGTCACCTCTCCACAGATCAGACGTTTCACTTTGCCTGCTTATGTCACCTCCTTGTCTTCATTAAGAGGCAACAGTTTAATGCCATACTGTTTGACCTTTCAGGCCACGCAATAAAACTCATAGAGACAAGCCAGTTGCAGACCTTCTAGCAGAAATTTTACATTCCAATTCCAATTCCATAGTTGTTCAAAGCACCAATCCTGCTTTGTTTGTCCACAGGTAAATGCAGTTCGAGCATATCTTCTGACATAAGCTCCAGCACTGATCACACACCGACCAAAGCTCCCAAGAATGTGGCCAGCACCGAAGGTAAGGCATCTGGTGTTCATTAACCAAAACGCTGCTCATTTCCCCCCTATTCATCCACTACTACTACCACAGCCCTCCCCTTCGCCTCCTCCTCCTTGTCCTCCTCCTCCTTCTCCTCCTCCTCTTCTCATCTGCTTTCTACTCTGCCTATTTTTGGAGACAGGATTGTGCGTGTTCTCGGGATAACCCTAAATTGAAAACAAACAGGCTTCCATCTGAGGGTCCAAAAACCCAAAGCGTTTCTTCGGCTCTTGTTCCATGAAAAAGACTTGCTTCACGCCAGGGGAATGCTTATCTAAACTTACACTGGTATCAAATCTGAAGAATTGTTAGAACATGAAGGTGTGTGCAGGGAGTGAAATTGTGGACTTTTGACTTTTAGATTTTTTGGAAAATACCAAATTCACTTGAGCTAATAAATATTTCGATTTGATTTTTTATAGTATTTTTAGGATTATTCTACAAACTGAGACCTGAAATTGGAATTTTGTTGAAGGTACATTATGAGCTGGAAGCTTTAAACTTACCGAAGTACTTGGAGAGACGTAACTGATCTGTGGAGAGGCAAGCCCACTCCACAAGGCAACTTTTAACAATCAAAACACCTGCAATTGAACAAATGCAAGATAGAGAAGTTTAATGCCATATTGTGGGATATTCCAGGCAAATCAAAAATAGCTCTCTGGAGACTTCAAGGTGGTGTACCATCCATCACAAAAATAATGCAGCACTATGTTTAGATCATGAAAGTTAACATTTGGTAACAATCTAGCTAGAAGACCATGCTTGATGAAGAAAAACATCTTTATCTTGTCAAAATGTAAAATTTGGGGGAAACTACACAGCTAATAGATGTCTTAAACTATGCTATGTTAATGCTAAGTCTTGAGAACCAAACATCACAAGTTTTTGGTAGATTCTAAAGGCTTGTCGAGGGGGTGAATCCTGGTGTTTTTCCTTACGTTTGTGAAATAGGGCGTTTGATTTGATTAGAGGACATTGGGGCCTATGCTCTCTATAGTTCACTACGAGGACATAAGCTCATAACAAAACAACAGGAGGTTGAAGGTGTCTGACATAAGAAAATACATTGTAATAACATTTAGTATGCTACTCTGCCCTACAAAGGCAAAACACCATAACATGATGTTTGGTCAAAAATGAGTTAATGTCATAAATATTGTGAAAAATATTGAGCTCAAAATTGACTTTGACCCTTATTTGTCAATTAATGTCCTCTGCCTTTGTATCATGTGGCAAAAATAATGAGTTGTGCAAAGGCAAAAGGCAGTAACAGTGTATGTTTTGTTTGTGATTTAGTTAAATATAAATAAATATAATAAAGATATTTTATAGGGATGTAACAATAACCAAAATATTGTGATATCGTATCGTCAAAGTCTCTTTGCTTAAATTAAGAGTTATGGTGCAGCAATATCTTAAAAAAAGAGGGAACTACATAGACCGTGATCCTTTGCTCCAGTCTTAGTTCTTGGATTAAATCTTGTCAAGGCATTTTTAGAGGAAAAAGTAGCATATTAACAGTTTTGTTAGCCTCCACCAAATGTTGCCATAAATATCATACCGTGAGACGTATATCGTGAAAATATCGTATTGTACCTAAGAGATGTGGATATTGTTACATCCCTAATCATGAGCCTCCCCACCATATTGTGAGCTTTCACAATAAATATCGCACCACGAGGTTCATACCATGACGATATCGTGTCGTGAAATTTGGATATCGTTACACCCCTAATATTTTATTTTAAAATCCAACCTCTCTCCTGCTACTTTTTGTTGCAGCCTTGGCACAGGGTCTTAACACATTAAATAAATATACCTTGGTATTCAGTTATACTTAATTATCTTTAATGTGAAAGTGTTCTGTGTATTTATTCATACTCTACATACTATACTGCAGTCGCTGCACAACATACTATACTACAGTCTCTGCACAATCCTGATCAGCACTGAACAGGAAATCCAAAGCTCTTCTATATCATTTCAAACACCATGATGACCAGAGCTCTGTGAGGTGTTCTTATAATGGATGGGAGTCTGGTGAAAATCAAGCAAATAAAGATAATGTCAGACTCCTCTGACTCCTTATTTTTGGCTCATGATACAAAGGCAGAGGACAGGAACTGCCAAATAAGGGACAAAGGTCAATTTTGAGCTCAATATTTTTCGCATACAAATATTTCTTAATAGCAACTAGTTGTCAAATTTTAGGAGCCCTACCTATTATACTTTTGTCTGGACAAAACAGAAACTCTAGTTTCACACTCTGGAGCATTAAGGTCTTTTGCCTTTGTAGGACAGTAGTATAAAGTATGGTTTTAACTTTCTGTTTCCATGGACCCAAGACCCAATTTTGAACTATGATGAAAAAGGTGTGATCTGTTACGTCTGCCCACATTGTCCCTTCTTTCATTCTAATGTTTTGACACTTGATTGTTAATGTATAGTTTTCATTCTATAAAATGCCTATTAAAAATGAATAACCGATAACACATTTTAAGAACCACTGTTGTAACCAATTTAAGAGTCTTCAAGTTCATTTTAGTCAATGCATGTTTTTCTTCCAAAGGCCTAGCAGTGCACAAAGTTCACATTTTATGGATGCGAAACAGCGGCTCCGCTCTTCATAAACAGTCTCTTTGTTTTCTTGAAAACTACCTGTTACATGTTCGGGCTCCTCTTACTGTACACACGCTGCGTTCCTTTGCGTCGTCATCACCCATATGAAATTTGCTCTGGCATTGTCTATGTAGTATTCTTGTGGTTTACATCTCACCACAGAAAAACAAATGACTTTTAGAGCCTGTGTTTAGAGCTGTCCGTCAGATTAACATTTTAAATGTGCTTTTGGGAAACTTTAGAACAAAATAAGATGATTTGTGGTTTAAAGAAAAGCAATTTGTTTTTATTTTAGAAACTTTTAAAGGGCCTGTGTCCAGTTTTTGGATTTGAGCAAAATGTGTTTTGTCTCAGTACAGATATGTATTGTATAAGCAGTTCTAGAAGCCAAAATAAGTCAGATATTTTGCATTTGCTTATAAAATCAAATAATAATTTTTTGAGCCAAGAATCAGGAAGAGCGGTATTAGCATGCTAGTGTCATTACCGTCACAGCCAAACTCCGTTTTGGTCTCTTAAAGTTGTGAAAATGAGCTACTTCTGCTCAGCTGCGGTGAGTTTTAAGAAAGAATATTGGTGAAGTCAGTCAATTTTGTGGGATGTAGGCTGTAAGATTTTGGGGGGAACAAATCAAATTGCGATTTTTCTGACAAGACTGACAGATTTGTGATGTGATGTGATGTTTAAAATGTAGAAATCTGCTCTGAGTACAGACTGTAAACAACTCCAGGAGTGTTAACATTTCAGAGAAGACTGAAATATGAACTAATACAAGAATCCCATGAATTTCAGAACAAGTTTGTCGAGGTCTAAACTACCGGTACAGGAATTTATATAAAAAAATAAAACATTTCAAACTGCAATTTCAAATTTGATTGCGATATATTGTCCAGTCTTATAGAGGGGTTAAGCACCAGTGGTTTATAGAACTAGACAATGGAAGACATAGAATATACCATTGCCAACCATAATTTTGCCTGTTATGACTCAAATGTTTAGTTTTTTTCTCCACGTTAAATGAGAGTAATTACATGGTCTTAGCCACAGTCAAATCCCCCTCTCCTTACACAAACACGCGTGCATGGCTGTTTGAATTCACATGGTTAGAGTGGACTACGTGGTTGGCAGAAGAGAGGCCTGTGGTCCACTAAACTAATGAGGAAGACTGGACTATTACAGGATTATATAGATTGCAAAGGATCTCTGCTATTAATATAATGATATGGTCAGTTTTAATGTAATAATCCATGAAAATACCACTCTTATCTGGACCACAAACCACACAGGGATGGCAGTACAAAATAATTATAGTGCTTGTAAGGTTAACTGTCAAAATGGCTCATTATGGCAAAAATGATCATCTACTATTACATGTCATAACATGTTTACTACTGCATAAAGGCCTCTGTGCAATTCATATTTTGTTTAAAGATGCATTGTGTAACTGCTGGGGGAGTGGGTCCACCACCTGCTTATGGTGAATGGTCACATTTTTCTATAGCACTTTTCCACCTTCAAGGCACTCAAAGCACTTTACAACAAGGAAGGAACTCACCATTCACACCATGTTCACACATCAGTGTACGCAGACACTGTGGGCAAGGTGGGTTAAGTGTCTTGCCCAAGGACACAACGACAGCATTCATCTGTGGGAGCTGGAATCACCCCAGCCAACCTGTGGGTCAGTGGATCTGACCGCTCAACCTGTGATGTTTATGTCGAGAGCTGGATTCAAACCGCCAACCTTCAGATCAGTGGGTGAATGCTCTACCAACTGAGCGACTGCTTATCTCCATGGAGATGTTACTGCCTTGTCTGCAGTTTCCCACCATATGGCATTCCAGTAGCAAGAAGGTCCTGGGTTCCACTTCAAGGTTGCCTTTCTGGAGTTTTTTTTTTTTTTTTTTATTAAGGACAACAGAATATAACATTTAAAAAATACAACAATTAACATTTAACAATTACAATAATCAGCATAAAACAAAAGACAAAATCATAAAGCAACACCCACAACAAATACAAAACAACAAAAAAAAGCCCCCATTTCCCCCTGACCACACACACCGACACAAATTTGTCTAAATAAACAAAAGTAATATGGTAGTGCAACATAAACACACCGCTAGGCCTCCTTACATTGACATTACATTTTATTTTATTTTTTTCCCCTCTCCAATTTTTAAATAAAATTGTTTTGTCCCTATACTTAAACTAATATTTTTTTCACCATCATCATTTCCTTTCATCATTTTTTGTTATTTATTACAAACTCAAATCATAATTTTAAATGCATTTCTTTCTTTCTTTTTTTTTTTTTTCTTTCCCATTTCTGGAGTTTGCATGTTTCCCACTGCATC